GGGAAAACCCGGATGTCAACTTGTAAAACAGTCCTATGCTGGTTTCCAAGTTGCCATAAGAAAGGCGGGGGGACCCTGAAGGAGCATACGGCAAATGAACTCAGAAGCACATTCCAAGCTTATCTCACAAAGATTGTAACTGAGGCAACCGGGTATACTGGGCTCAAAAATTCTCTATTGGAGAGTGTGATTGAGAACACCTAGCCCATGAACGTGTTCCATTGGACAGTCTGAAATATGATACACCCAGAGGGGTGGGGGGAAACAGGGTCATATGTGATTGTAGATTACATATCTCAGAGTCGGCTTCATACAGGTCTCTGTATTCTGACACTGGAACTCTCAGATTTGGGTTTTCCCAGATGTGCCAATATGACAACTCCAATAAAATGGAACTTTGAGGAATTGTTTGTTTCGGAGTTTATTGGGCTGGAATTGGTTAGTTGGAGTGCTGACACTGATGCTCTTCTGCGACTTATGACCTGCGAGGCAAACCTGTCTGATCCACCATTGTTGATGGTCCCGCTGAAAAGAATCCTAGTTTGGTCAGGAAACCTTTGCAAGAAAAAAACACCAAGAATCCCAAAGGTGCTTTTTCCCAAAAAACCCACAAAAAAACAAAAAGACTTTGTCAGGACTCCAACAAATCCACCCCCATTCAAATCATAAGTCTCTAGCTGCATCTCAGAGAAAAGAAAATTGATTTATTAGGAGTGGCCATGTTGGTGTTGGCTGGATGCGGCCAATACTAAAATACATCATTCATTTCCCCCTTGACTCTAGTCTTCCTCCCACCCCCTGGATGTATATTCTCCAATGAGACACATCCATAGCCAAGAGTCATCAATCATGCTCTCCAGTAATTTTCTTGAGCTCCGACAACTTTGGGCTGCCAGGGTGATTATCTAGGCACTTAAGGAAAGGCACTTCAGGAATGATTCACCTTTGGTCTTTTTAGCCTGCCAGGCTTCCTTGGTTTATTTCTCTTTGAAAAGGCTTCACTTCTCGTCCAAGAACTGCTTCTTCAGCTCAGCTTCTTGGACAAGAAGCGAAACATTTTTGAAGAAAAATTACCAAGGAAGTCCAGTTGCCTTTTGGAAGCACACACACACACACACACTTTAAGGACAACTGTGTCCTGGATGATTGAGAATCTCCATAGACACCAAGGCCAGAGATCAACAAGGACCCCACAGCTCAACCCTGACCTACACATATTCTCTTCTGTCAGTACCAAAGAATTCTTTTTTTTTTTAAACAAGTTTTATTTTCAAGACAAACAATACATAAATACACATAAACACAAAACATAAAAGCATAAAAAATCTCTTATCTGAAAGTTGCTTAGTCCCGGGTTAAAACTCTTGGTACAGACACAAATTCAAATTCATATTCATTTTACATACTATTTCATATCTTATTAACATTTTCAATTTTCTATATGACTTCTCCTCTCCTTTAAATTTTCTCAAATTTATTTTATTTTATTTATCTTCTCTCAATTCGTATCATAATATTTATTATTCTTTGTCTGTTCTATTCCAGCCAACCCTTTATTTTTCTTCTTTAAAAAAAAAAAAGAAAGACTTCTCCTGTACACTATATGGAGTATGATGCCTTTATCTCTTTCCCCTATATTTATAATACTTAATATAAAGCACATGACATACATTGGGATTCTGTCTGGTACATTCTAAAATTGTACCGAAGAATTCTTAATGATATCCCAGGGAAGCCTATGGTCCCCAGAATACAGTTAAAACATCAATGCTCTTACTATCGGGTCCAAGGACCTTTTAAGATTGTCTATAGAGTCCTCCAGGAGCTCCTTTTAACTTCTATTATTTGTTTTATATTGTTCATTTTCACTGAGCAATTAACATGCAAGTAAGGTATCATTTTATTTTTTAATTTGGATTGCTGCTGAATTGGTTACTTGTCTCCGTTAAGAGCTCAGTGTCTTTGCCAGATGCTGAATAATTAAATTTAAGATTTATTTGAGCTTCCTACAAACAAACTTCTGGGTGAACACGCTTCTAATAAGGTCTAATCAACTGGTATTAAATCACGAAGAAGAAAATTGAATCGTGGGATTCTCTGTGCTCTCTGAGCTTGGTTGTTTTCTTGCAGGTGTTTCGTTACCCAACTAGGTAACATCATCAGTGCTAGTAGGAAGTGAGGTTTTCTCTTTTATATACAGGTAGTCCTCGACTTACAATAGATCATTTAGTGATCATTTGAAGTTACAGCAATACTGGAAAAGTGACTTATGACCATTTTTCACATTGACAACCATTCCAGCAGCTCCCTGTTCACGTGATCAAAATTCAGACTACTTGGCAACTGACTTGTATTTATGACGGTTGCAGAGTTCTGGCGTCATGTAATCCCCTTTTGCAACCTTCTGACAGGCAACATCAATGGGAAAGCTAGATTTACTTAACAACCGTATTACTAACTTAACACCTGCAGTGATTCACTTAACAATGGTGGCAAGAAAAGTTGTAAAACAATGCAAAACTCACTTAACAACTGTCTCACTTAGCAACAGAAATGTTGGGCTCAATTGTGGTCATAAGTTATTGCCCTGGCAGTATCGGTGAGGCTGTTCTTATACTTAGACTTACATACCACTTCACAGTGCTTTCCAGCCCTCTCTAAGCAGTTTATAGTCAGCATAATTGCCCCCAAACAATCTGGGTCCTCATTTTACTGACCTCGGAGGGATGGAAGGCTGAGTCAACCTTGAACCAGTGAGGGTCAAACTGCCATTTCTTGGTGGTTCATTAATTAGTCTGTTGTGTGTGATGTTTGTCTGAGTCAATTGTATGTTATGTGTTGTTTGTCTGAGTCAATTGTGTGTTGTGTGCTGTTCGGTTGTTTGTCTGAGTCAATAGCTCCTTGATGGGGGTATTGTTTACTTCTTGACTACTTACTTCTTGGGCTAGTAGTAAGATTGGTGTTACTGGGGAGGAGGTTTGACTACTTACTTCTTAGTCTAGTAGTAAGCTTGGTGTGAATTACTGGGGAGAAGGTTTGACTACTTACTTCTTGGTCTAGTAGTAAGCTTGGTGTGAATTACTGGGGAGGAGGTGTTTGAGTTTGGGAAGTCTTTATGTTTTCCCCTTTTAGGCTTTTTGAGTTTCTCTTCTGAATGGTATGCAGACATTGTTTAAACCCCCGTGTCCACTGATGGCTGATGTGTCTTAAAAGCCGGTCTTCTAGGAATTCTCTAGCATTCTTGGGCTGAAGCTTAAGAGAGAGAGAAAAAAAGCTTTAGACTACAAATACAGTGAAGAATTGCTCGCCTGTACTAGAGGAATGATTCCGAAATTAAGAATTAACGAAGGCACCTGTTTTGAGGTGTGTGTGGGTGTGTGTTCACAAAGCATCACAATGCACTGGTAGCCTTGCTTTATCAAACCCGCTTGTGTCTAAAACAAGAACGAGGGCTGGCTACGTGAGAGGCCCCTCATTGCCAGAGTGAAATTCCTTTCTCTGCAATCTAATCCGTCAGGAGCCACGGAGGAAGCGCTATCAGAGAGGCCTCCAGACAGCCTTGGTGGGGAGGAGGAGGGGGGGCATTGTGTGTGTGTGTGTGTGTTTCTGCATGTGCAGGACCCATTGCCCGGCAGCATGGATGCTTCTCAGACCTCCTCCATCCAGTGAATTATAAATAAAGCTCCAGCCTATCGGAGGAAAAGGTTAATGTGAACAGAGAGCCGATGATGCTTGGCAGCTTAGGGAAAGTTGCGCTCGGTTGCAGGGGGTGTGTTTTCCATGCGTAGCATCCCAGCTGAACCTTTGGGGCTTTCCAGCGAATGGGTAGGAAAAGAGCTTTTTACTGGTAAGATAATAAAAACCTAACACACAAAGCTGTGAACATGGTGCATAGGAGCTCAACCACCCACGGGTTCCAAGGTGGCTTTTTATATGTACTTCCCTCTTTCTAGGGTGAAGAGGGATTGCTCATTTTGTTTTGATTTACTTACTTGTTTCATATCTTGCCTTTCTTATTTTTACCACTAGCTCAAGGTGGCAAATACACAAAATGACTCTTCCTTCCTCCTACAACAATCCAGTGAGCTGGTTTCGGCTGAGAAAGAGCAGGGGGGGAGGGAGGGAGAGAGAGATAAAGTGAGAGAGAGGGAGTGTGTGAGAGGGAGGGAGAGAGGGGGAGAGAGAAATAAAGTGAGAGAGGGAGTGTGTGGGAGGTGGACAGGGAGAGGGAGAGAGAGAGGGAGAGAGAGGGAAGGAGGGAGAGAGAGATAAAGTGAGAGGGAGGGAGTGTATGAGAGGGAGGGAGTAGGGGAGAGAGAGAGAGAGACTGGCCCAAAGTCACCCAGTTGGATTTTATGGCTAAGGTGGGACTAGAACTCCCCATCTCCTAGCCAGTCGTTAAGCGAATCAAACTCCACCCATTGGCTTTACTTACTGGAAGCTAGCTAAGAAGGTTGCAATCCTATGCACCTGCTTAATCTCAATAGATGTGCTCTATGAACATTGATTTAAGCTTCATTCAGGTAGAATTAAAATTCTCTTTGTGTGCATAAGAAAACCATTCTGCATGTATGGTTTCAATGGGATTTCACGACTGGGAGTTAACTATATATCGTACATGGGTTTAATTATATTAATGTTTTGCTCCAGGTTTCATCTTCTAAAAAGGCTTTTTCTCACCAATTTAGTAGAAGAACAAGTTTTGGGAAGAGATAAGGACAAAGAAAAAATGTTTTAGAGTAAAATTGTGAGAATTTGGTTGTTATAATAACCGGAAGATTTAGGCTCAAACTAGGAAAAGACACTCTTCCCAAAATAAGAGTAGCTGTTCCTATATCCTTATGCTCTGGTTATTTATGAAATAGATAAAAGGGACAAATCTTTCCCATAAAGAAACGGTAACATTCAAGATCTTAAATCACATTAGAATTTGCAGAATTGTAACTTAACTGTTCCGTTCATGATTAATTTTCATTTTATTTTATTTTCGTATCTTACAGCTTGAGGGATTTTAATGGCTTTCAGGTAGAACTGAAGTGGAGACAATCGCAATGAATTCTATGGACAGACACATACAGCAGACTAATGACAGACTGCAGTGCATAAAACAGGTAAATGAAAAATATCTCCTTTGTGGTGGGGGGAGAAATTGGAGCTCCCAAACAATAACAGGTTTCTTGGCAGCTGCCTCCAACTTAAAACAGTGTTTGCAAACAAGATTTTCACTGTGTTTTGTTTAGCAAGATTTACTGAGATGAAAAAACAAAAGAAAACAACAACAACAATGAATGAGGTTACAAATTGACAACTTCCTATTTAGGACCGATGCGCATTTTAAAGTTGGAAGTTTCATGATTTCTTTATTTTATTTTGACAAATTGGGAACAATTAGATGTTAGGCTCTTTAAAACGGACGGAAACTGAAAAGAATTTACATTTATTGAACAGAGTTGTCTTTTGCTTCCTAGAATTGCAACAGCTGAATATTTCCCGTTAAAATACACATTTCTCCACAATACATTAGGACACAAGGTTTTTTTTGGTTCCTTTTTAATTATCTTCTTATAATTCCTGTTTGTTTTTTTTAATAATATCAAGGGGAACAGGCAGCTGGCTCTTTATATAATAATCTCCTGTATCTTGAACAGTCTGGGAACCAATCCAGAAATCCTTTCAAATCTAAATCTGATTTGCTTGTGTTCTCAATCTCTTCACTAAGCTCCCAAGCAGAGGGAAAGCTGATATTTGTGGAGTCCTTGGTGCTCTTTGAGCTTGGTTGTTTTCTTGCAGACGTTTCATTACCCAGCTAGGTAACATCATCAGGGAGTACCAAGACACCACATACTTCAACCCTGAGCTACAAATATTCCCTTCTGTTGAAATCTGGCATTTTCATGTTTGCACATCCAACCCCCATGTTTTTCATGCTTGGCCTATGGAGACAGTATAAAAATGGAATTAGTCATCCCATCCCTGGTCCTGATGGGCCTCCCCATGCTGATATTGCATAGATGGCATCAACATCTCCTCTACATCTGTGCTAAACATGTGGGTGCCTGCTGGAGCCACACAATCTGGGAAGTTTACAGTTCCCTTTTTAAAGTGCCTGAATAAGAATAATGAAATGTGGACTAGGAACTATGTAAATCAAATATTTATTTCCTTCCT